AAAAATTTCCCATAACGTAATCCTAAGTCTCAAAATTTGCTTGCAATTAAATATTTTGAAATTTTTCTTTTCGGAGTTTAAAACTATGCCAGAGATCAGTTTTTTTAAACTGAAGTTTTCAAATTAATTATACGACAGAGAATTTACCATAAAGGGTTCCTCCTCTGGTATAGCGTAGTCTTAATAGTGACTCAGCGAAAATAATAGCGTCATTAAAGCGGGTGGCTGACCACTTGGATCAGTCTGCGTAGGGACCGGGGGTGTGCGGTATTGGTCCTCGTTAAACTGTGCTACCGTAAAGTGCTCGACTTCGCGCGCCGGTCGTCGGGCTACCGAAGGGAGGGGGGTGTCATCCCCTCCCGAAAGGGTTCAAAATTGTGATGGCATGTCTCCGGATCATCCTTCATTACAACAACAACAACAGCGTCATTAAATAATAGCGTGAAAATATAGCACTGTTGTTGTTGTTAATTTACGTCGCACTAGAGCTGCACAATGGGCTATTGGCGACGGTCTGGGAAACATCCCGGAGGATGATCCGAAGACATGCCATCACAATTTTGATCCTCTGCGGAGGGGATGGCACCCCGCTTCGGTAGCCCAACGACCTGCACGCGAAGTCGAGCACTTTACGGTAGCACAGTTTAACGAGGACCAATACCGCACACCCTCGGTCCCTACGCAGACTGATCCAAGTGGTCACCCACCCGCACACTGACCGTAGCCAGTGATGCTTGACTTCGGTGATCTGCTGGGAACCGTGTCTTAACGATCAGTCCACTGCGGGACCACTTTACGGTAGCACAATTTAACGAGGACCAATACCGCACACCCCCGGTCCCTACGCAGGCTGATCCAAGTGGTCACCCACCCGTACACTGACCGTAGCCAGTGATGCTTGACTTCGGTGATCTGCTGGGAGCCGTGTCTTAACGATCAGTCCACTGCGGGACGAAAATATAGCGCAGTGAAAATATTAGCGTTATAGTTGAGCACTTTTTTTGCCACGATCTTTTGCAACGAAGCAGATAGCAAGAATAGTCACCGATCTCCGCACCCTATTTCTCAACTACCCTCAGCGATAATTCGTCTCTGAAACAACATGACACATTATGTTAGAATGCATATAATGATCCTTTAACCCACAATAGAAGTAATCTTGCTTGACATCCTGCCTTCACAGCCAGAAATCAAACCTCAGCCGAAACCATCCAATTTAATTCTTATGACATAGACATCTCCTTTTCCAAAACAGTATGAGTTAAATGACAGGATTAAAAAATAGAGGGCTCGACTATTGATCAAATTATAGTGGGTTCGAGTACCGATAAAAAGATAGTAGGTTCAATGAACACTTTTGAAGTGAAAAAGAATAGTTTAGTAAAGTATCCAAATGAAAAAAGGTTCGAGAACTGATGAAAAATAGGAGGCTCGTTTATTGATCAAATGACTGTGGGTTCGAAGATATATTAAAAGAGAGAGAATTCGAGCAATGATCAAATGGTTGTAGGTTCGAGTAGTTATCAAATTAAAACGGGTATAAGTGCCAATTAAAAGATGAAGGATTTGAGTAATGATTAAAAGGCAATGGGTTCGAGAATATATTGTAATGTAGTGGCATTAATCAAATGATAGCGAGATCGAGAACAAATTAGAAAAAACAGTTGTGTTTGAGAGCCGACAAAAAGAGCGCGGGTTCGAATACCGAAAAAAAAATACAGTCGATTCTGAAATGGATCAACGATAATAGGTTCGAGTACTGATAAAATCACAGTGTGTGTTCAAGTAGTGATCAAATGATAATAAAGTTCAATTCCTGATCATAGCTGCGTCAAGAACCGGTGAGAATGGTGGGTTTGATTCTCGATTAAATCATAGTGGATTCGAGTAGCGATCAAATGATTTTGTGCTCCTCGAATACTGATCAAATAATAACGAGATGTAGAACTTGAGAAAAATAGAGTGTTCAATTATTGATCACGAGGTAGTGGATGTTGGTAACTGAAAAAAAAAAAGGAAAAAAAGAAAACAGTTGATTTAATTGGGTATAATATGAAAAAAACACAACTACTTCGATTTAGTAGGAACAACATATGACGCAAACGAATGGAATTTAGTTGTTGTTTATTTAGTTATTGTTATTAGTAGTTGTTGTTATTTGTTTTAGTTGTTTATTTAGTTGTATTTAGTTTCAATAACTTTTCTTTATAATGCAATAAAATCTGGCGAGCAGCTATTTAAACGATCGAACACTTCGTTTGTTTATTTGTGGCTTGAAGTTAGGCTCGCAGAAAATGCCGTTCATGGGTTAAATTTAGTAGGAACAACACAACCTGTGACGTAGCCTATATTATACCCAATTATTAATCCATTGATAGTGAGTTCGAGAGCTGATCAAACGATAACGTTTATGATTGTGGGCTTGAGTTATAAACAAAATAGAGCCCAGTTCGGAATCGGTCAAATGAGAGTGGGTTCGAGCACTGATAGTTGGTTCGAGAAATAATAGTAAGTTCAAATACCGATAAAAAAATTCCTTTTTTTTTTTCTTCGCATTTCCATCAATAAGAAATGAATAGGGAGAAATTTTTCGCTTTAACTGGTATTGTGCAAGGAAAGACCTTTTATTTTATTTTATAAATCACATTTAATTTTGTGGACTGATGTATATTAGGTGTTTACAGTGTCAAAAATGATTCTTCTAAAACCATGAAAAATCAAGAACAATAATGAAAGTTCAGTTATCCTTTTAAACTTGCACGTGTTATAACTACTCCGTTAATATAGAGAAAACACCTAAATTTTAAACTAAATAAATACAGAACGAAGTTTAAAGAAACAGTCAACATTATGTCAAAAATAAATTTATTTGAAAATTAAAACAGTACATAAAACAACTTTAACAGAAAACAATTTACGAACTCTTTTTTTACAATGTGTTATACGATATGTTAATATTCAATGTCGCCTTGAATTTATTTTTGTTGCCTCCCCCCCCCCNCCCCCCACCAAGATAATTATTTAATTCCATTGGGACTGTGTGTGTGTGTGGGGGGGGGGGTGAAAATACCTTTTGCCTATTTTGAATAATATTATTGTTATTTTACGCATTCTTTCCTTTAAAAATTAAGAAAGTCAAAGCAATCTTGATTTTTGCATTTATTTATAAAAAAAAAAAAAATAATAAAAGTAAGAAAAACTATTTTTATTTCTTAAAATATTTTTAAATTTCCTGAACTACAAAGCGAATTCAATACGCTACTTTATACAAATTATTGTAATTTTTAGATGTACTTAATTTTAAAGCAAAAATAGCTCCCCCGACAAAAATAAAAGAAAATCCATATAATTACATGGATTCAATACCAGCTCAATTCAGAAATTTTGCGGAGAAAAAAACAAAATAAAAAGCTTTTTCTTTTTCTTTTGGAAATATGCAGTATTACGTTGTGATAGGTTAAGTTATAAAGAACTTCCGAAGTGAAAAATATGTTATATAACAACATAAGTAGCTTAAAATTAATATATAATTAATAAATATTTTATCTTCTTTAAAGTAATATTCTGAGCTGATCAAATTTTGATTTTGATCAAGATTTGAAAAGGAACTGAATTAACAAAACAATTATAATGAGTAAAATTATTTCTAATGAATTAATAGTTTTTTTTTTTAATTTTAATGTTCAATTGTTTTTTTTAATATCAATGTTCAATCTTGTTTGTTCTTTTATTTAATAAAAATTAATAATAGTTAATTTATTTAATAAAAATTAACTAAAATAAAAGTCTTCTTTGTTGACCTAAGTAGGGATTGATTTTTACAAAAATTATATTACTTGTTTTAATTGTTTAATTCTCAATTCCTAATTAAAAGTATAATATGTTTATGAAGGTTAAATCTGTCATTGTTTAAAAATTATTTCTTCAATCCTAATAAGAAGTTAATCAGGCCTTTACCTATCTCATATAAACAAGAAAAATAATAACTTGAATGATACATCAGTATTCGTCCCAATATGAGATTTACTATACTTTACTATTGTGTAGTTACTATGTTGTTACTTTACGGATCAGGTTGCTAGACTGAAATTGTTGTTCTTATACATTTTATTTCCTCCGCCATTTTATTGTTTACATTTATTTCAGTTAAATATATTATTTTATTTTATTAAATTGATTATTTTAATTTTATTTATATATATTAAAATTTTTATAGGTTATTTACTTAGTATTAAATGTATTTTTTAAAGAAATGTATTTTATATTTTCTGAGCAATTTTTATTAAAAAGCTTAGTGGCGCCATCTATACATCTCTAAATTAACTACACAGCTAAGCTAGTTATCTTAGTTTAATATATTATTTTATTTTTATTACATTTATTATTTTAATTCATATAAATTATATTTTAATATATCAAAATTTTTTATAAGTTTTTTTACATACTATTAAATGTTTTTTTTCAAACAATACAATTTATATTTTCTGAGCTATTTTTATAAAAATTTAGCGGCGTCATCTATAGATTTCTAAAGTAACTGCACAGCTAAGTAAGGTAGTTCACATATCAGGAAAAGACACTAAGTTGATTATAAACAAACATTCAATTTCTTAGAACAAATGATGTGATAATAAAATGCATTAATGAACTGTTAAAAACATTATGAAAAGATTTACAATAAATAATGTTTGATGACAAATAAATGAGCATCATATACACAATGTACGAACACATTCAGAAAGCAGTTTTTAACGAGAATAAAAAAAATTAAAAACTGAAACATTTCAAAACATTCTTTTTTTATTATCTTCAGTTTAAAAATGTTTAATAATGATGAATGTTGAGAAAAACTTAACATTCTAAATACTTCCCTGAGAAACAGTGAGAGTTTAATAATAATAAACTAAATAAACTAATTAATTTATTGTATATTTAAAAAAATATTCAAAAAAAGAAACATTATCTATATTTAATTATAAATTATATGCAAGTTTTAATTTCTTGATATTTTTTTAATCATTTGATTTAAACTATAAAGTTAGTTGGAATGCAAGCAAATATATATATATATTTTAATTCTATACAACATGTAAAATGTTGAAACAGTTCGGAAGATTTAGTATAAATATTTATAAGCCATTATCGGAAAATGTGCTAACATGTTGTTTCTCATCTACGTGGAAATTAACGTAAGACGTGAAAGAAAAAATCTTGATATTTTTGGGCACTTAAAATGCCTGCAACAAGTTACCATGCAGCGTGAAATGTCCTCAGTGGAAGATGGATCATGGGTCAGAGTCTTTCTGTCAGAATAACCGTGGAAGGTTTTCGTGGTTTTCCTCCCCATGCGAAATAAATACGGATTAGTTGGATCGAAATGTCCTCCACGAAGGCAAATTTCTCCAAATACTAGATAAAGGAGTTCTCTTTTAACAAGGCTACGGAATTAAACATTAGTAGTCGTAAGCCTGAACAATTGGGTCGGTTGCTTAACGACGTTTATGAAATAAAAAATTTTTTAAAGTTTAAATGGTTAAGAAAAATGTTTTCAAAGTATCAAAATAAAAACAACATCTCTAAAATACCAAAGAAGGTGAAATACCCTCTCTTAAAGGTTAAAAACAATGAATGAAACAAATGAAGGTTGGAAAGTATGAGTTAAATAAATATAAAGGGCTAACAACAATGAGTTGATTTCATTCAATGAATAACAACAAATTAATGAAACACAACAATAAAGCACCTTGAGTTAGAAACACTTAAATATTGAGCACTCATCCACATTATGACTAGAGATACGGAAAGGTTTTTTTTAATGAACCTCCTTCCCTGAAAGTTTTGGCACATTTCATCCAATGTTCAACAACACTATTCAACAAGTCCTTCTTTGCAAAATAACATCGACATCTCCTACTTTCATCACGTTTCGCACTTCAAGAATTTCAAGGTGTTCCTGGAAAGATGAATTAAGGTCGTTAAGTTCATTTTAAAAACGATTGAACTTTGCTAGAAATTATACACTGAAATTCAGACAATAAAATGAACCTCCACTATGAATAAAACTAAATATTTTACTACACGTAAATGATATATTTTTTAAAGTAGGTCATGCTTGTTAACAAGTAATATTTTTAAAAAAAAAATCTCAATCAGGTCAACAAAGAAAAGAAAAAATTAGTTACTTTTTTATTAAATAATTAAAAATTTCTCCCATATAAAACTAAAATTGATTCATTAAATTTACTTAATGAATTAATATTTGAAAAAATGTGTTAACATCTAGTGAGAAAGATGTATAAATCTGAATTTTTAGCAAAGAACGTAAAATAGTGACTCAGATTACTTTATGACGTGCGATTTGAAAATAATTCTAAATTTTAGTAACTCTTTAGTCAGCCGTGGTAGTCTAGTGGTTAGAGAATCGGGCTCCGATCCGGAGAGGTTGGGGTTCGACTCTCAGCTCTGCTAAGATCCACCGAGTACATGCGACGTGCGAACTCGTAAAATCTCTGGTATTTAAAGGTCTGTGGTCGATCTTTCAACATTACTATGGCTACAGGGATGTGAAGAAAGTTTCCTTCCCTTACAAATTTGTGTCTAAATTCAGGATGTAGTCTCACGAATGCGTTGTGCTGCCATCTATCCGTAGGATTCTCAGCTATGACATACTTTCATCTGAGCTGTGCTCTCTTGTCAAACGAACGGCGCTCCTTCCTGATTTAATTCAGAAATGACTTATGTCTGGCGAGCTTGGATTGTCCAAGTTTCGTTAGAAAAATTAACTTCAGGAAAACTTGATTTAGATTGAGGACTTACCGGTGTTGTGGAAGCAGGTAAAATCGTAAAGTTGAGCAACAAGTTGAGGAGGCACATCTTGACCTGCATGAGTACAAAGTTCTTTCCCACACACTCTCTTCCACCCGATCCGAAAGGAAAGAAAATATTCTTGAATGCATTCCTTTCTCCATAGAAAAATCTGAAATACCATTCATTTTAGTGTTTCATAAAAACATCCTTGAGTATGTAAAAACTTTAATGCATTCAGAAAGATGCATCACGATAATTTCAATGCATGCTAACCTGTCAGGATTAAAAACTTCTGGATCAGGATAATATTCTGGATCATGATGTATGGCGAAAATTGGAATGCTCACAAGAAATCCTTCTTTCAAGTGAATAGCTGCTTCGGGAAAATAATAGTCTTCGGCAGCACGCCTTTCTATTCTGAAAAATTAAATTGCGATTTTAAAATAATTAAATATTTAAATATGCGCAATTAACTATTTTTTGTTCAAATAGAGCTATAAGTTAGAAATTATCACTGTTGTTATCTTTAAAATATGTGAAAACCTGAATTCGCTTATAATAAACTCTTGATGGTCAAAACTCTTGATAGTCCCATCAAAACAATTTGATGGTTTATGTTAGTTTCAGTGCGATTCATGTTGGTCCAGCATCATTTGATGGTCACCATCATCCAACAATTTTCCATTATGCTTTCATGGTTTTTAATGTGCCGACAAACTTCCATCATTCCATGATGGAAAATGCTACTTTAATACTACGATGGTTAACCTTCGAGAGAAGTTTGATTTACGTAAACCAATAATTAATGATGATACGTGATGGTCCATGGTGGTTCCAACTATACATTTCCATGTTTTTTAACGGTAATTTCTAGTTGGTTCTCAGGAGTATAGCATAAATTTTTTTTTTTTTTATGTTCGTCCATCCTACGAGGGTTGCTATTTATATTTCTGGCCTAATAATGAAAAAACAAATATGTAAGATTGAAATTGGTTTTATTGTTTTTCAAAATATTCTCCATCATGATCAATACACTTTGCATGCGTTTGAACCAATTTTCAAAGCACTTTTTCCAGTCCGATTGAGGTAACTCCAAAACATGCGTTTTGAATGCATCAACCGCTTCTTCGGGGGTCGAAAATCGTTGTCCACGTAATTTATTTTTGATGTGTGGGAATAAGAAGAAGTCATTGGGTGCCAAATCAGGGCTGTACGGCGGATGACCCATCAGTTCGATCTTTCGCTCCGTCAGAAATGCCTTTGTTTGAGTCGATGTGTGAGAGCTCGCATTGTCATGATGAAGAATGATTCGCCTGTTCTTCTGCTTTTTTCGAATTTCTCCGATGACTTCTGGCAAACAAATGGTCGTGTACCATTCAGAATTGACCGTCCTGCGTTGCTCTAACGCCACTGTTGCCACATGACCGTTAATGCCGAAGAAACAGGCAATCATTTGTTTCGATGTGCTTCTTCCTCGAACAACTTTTGTTGGTTTTGCCTCGTCTTGGAAGACCCATACAGTTGATTGCTGTTTTGTTTCCGGCTCATATGCATAGATCCATGATTCGTCACCTGTGTAGATGTTATACACAGCCTTTGATGTACCTTGAACGTATTTTTCCAACATTTCCTTGCACCAATCGACACGAGCCTTTTTTTGAGCGTTTGTCAGATTATGCGGGATCCAACGCGAACAAATTTTTTTTACGCTCAAATGTTCATGCAATATTTTATTGATGCTAGTCATACTAATGTCCAAAGACGCCTCTATCTCACGGTATGTCACATGACGATCTTGCTTTATCAGTTCACGCACAGCATCGATCTTTTCTGGCACAACAACGGATTTTGGACGACCTGCACGGGATTCGTCCTGGATCGAACATCGACCACGATTAAATTCGTTATACCAATTTTTTACAGTGCTGTAGGATGGCGCTTTATCGCTGAATAAAGAATTAAGTTCATCGAAGCACTCTTGTCTTGACAATCCACGTCGAAAGTTATGAAAAATAATGGCACGAAAATGTTCACGATTCAATTCCATTTTTTGAAAGAGAAGAACTTTTCAATTTACTGTCAACAACACAAATGAAGCTATAATGGTAAATCGTCTGCTGAATTTATGTTTAAAAATATTAAACTTTCGATTAAAATCGTCTGCGGTCGCTTAGCAACACTTACTGTTGCCAAGGCTAGAAATATAAATAGCAACCCTCGTATATCAGTCGGAATTCCAACATTAAGAGGATGGCGGTTCATGATCGTTGCGGCATTTGATTTCTAAGATACTATGATGGAAATTTCTGATGGTTCAACAAGAACAAACCATCAAAACAAATTGCTATGTTGAGCCATCATAAATCAGTCCTACATTATTTATGTTGTTTACCATCAGAAAATATAATGATTCATGTTGGAATCGTTGATGGTTACCACCAAGATTATGTTCGTTCATCAACGGAAAACCATCAAAAATTTTGACGAATAGAAGAATTTTTATAAAAACGGATGATGAATTTTGACGAAAATTTTGACGAAATTTTGACGAAAATTTTGACGAATAGAAGAATTTTTATAAAAACCGGATGAAATGATAGAATTACCTGGCCATGGGTGGACATATTCTTGAACATTCCTTCATCACAGCTTCTAAGTATTTAAGTTTACCCAAACAGTTTGACATTTCCTCTGGCTGCAAACAAAGACTCCATTAAAATACCTTTTCATGGGATAAAACATATACATCAATTATACTTAGTTGCAACCGCGTCGTGAAGAAATCCAATAAAGAAGTAATATTAAAAAAGAATTGAAAGTCAATTCCTACTTAGGTCAACAACGAAAAAATTTAGTTTAATAACTTTTTATTAAATAATTGCAATTTTTTCTCCCATATAAAATTAAAATTAATTCATTACATTTATTGAATGAAATAATATTTGAAAAAACTATATTAAAATCAAGTGACATAACTAGAAAAAAAGGAATTTGAACTTAAATGGATAAATAAAAAGTATTTTATTTAACGATTGAAAGTTTGAACAAGATATAGAGATAGAGTGTGAACTAATAGTAGGAATTGAAAAATAAAGGAGCATGGTATCAGACAACTATAAAAGCATAAACTTGGTGACGTGGACCACACGTGCTACCACGTCATGTTCTTTATTGAATTGATCTGATATAAAAGATTTAAATATTTTAGTGCGAGCAATAAACTATTTTCTTGTTCAAATAGAGCTATAAGTTAGAAATGATCACTGATGTTATTTTCAAAATATGTGAAAAATTGAATAGCTTATGGTAAAATCTAAAACAATGACTAACACTTAACCCATCAGAAAATTCTATTTCGTTTATCGCTCATCCTTATTTAATGAATGAATCAATAGTTGAAAAAGACTGCATTAACATCAAGTGTCATAGACTACAAGTTTTAAAAAAAATTTATTTGAATAGATGAATAAAAAGTATTCTTTTAACAATTGAAAATTTGAAGAAGATATAGGGAGAGTGTTAACTAAGAGTAGGAATTGAAAAAAAGTCCATGATGGAAAACTTCTTTTTTTTTTTTATTATATTAAATCCGTTTTGCTCAAAACGTCGGACATCGTGCACAGTAAACAAAATAACTAAAATGTCACCACAAATAACTTTTATTCTAATGATCGGATTTGCAGAAAGTAAGTTCCAATCTTAATAGTTAAAAACTAGTTCCACTATATTTTGTCGTTTCTTTGAAAATTGATTATTTTTCCTGTACCTATATTAATGGCAAAGAATGCACACTTACTCTGCATTGTGGGAGCACTCGTTCAATTTCTTCTAAAGCTTTCTTCTGGCATTCTTGATTCATGGCCAGTCTGTAAACACAATGTGAAAGTAAAGCTGTGGTTGCTTCGTAACCAGCCAAGAAAAAAGACACACACTGTGACAACATTTCGACGTGGCTGAGACCATCTACAAGGATATAATAAGCGTTAGTTATAAACAATTAATGAGAAACACTTCAATATTCATTAAGGACTTTCTGTCGTCCTATTATTCTAAAGCAACTGAAAAAGCATTGCTGTAGTTTAGTAACGTCGCACTAGAGCTGCACAATGGGCTATTGGCGACGGTCTAGGATGCATCCCTGAGGATGATCCGAAGAGATGCCATCACAATTTTGATCCTTTTGCAGAGGTTATGGTACCCCCACTTCGGTAGCCCGCGCAGTCAAGCACTTTATGGTAGAACAGTTTAACGATGACCCATACCGCACACCCTTCGCAAACTGATCCAAGTGGTCACCCGACCACTGCCAGTGATGCTTGACTTCGTTGTTCTATTGGGAACCACGTCTTAATGATCAGTCCACTGTGGGAAAAAGTTTTATCAGGTGTACGAGCAACAGTCTTTGCAGAAATGTGCAACTAACCGAATGCAATATGTTGAACACGCATTACATTGTAATTTCTGATCCGATAACCTTATAAAGCATTAAATTGTTCTCCCGGTCAAATGACCGGTTGTGGTAGGAATAGGTATACGACAAGTATTATTTGAAACAAGCAAAATATTTAAAAAAAAAAAAGATTATTAACTGTACGTAATTGTTAGAAAAAGTCATGAAGTCAAATGTGCAAAAATGATGATAATAGCATTTTGGATGCCAAAGTTCTTTAACGGTCATTTGATCGGTTATGGTATGCTTAGTTTTAAGCAGTATGAACAACAAATGTCCACTAATAATGTGCCGCAAGTTCTAAAAATCTGGAATTTAATTTTACTCTTTTTCAGTACTTTTCCTGCGGTAGTTAGTTTTTCTGACTGAATTGTGTAACATATTAAATAATGACATCACTCAGAAGCTCTGAACTGGATTGTTCGACGATTGTTTACATTTCAAAAATCGAAGAAATTTGAAACGCATTCCAAAAGCTCCGTGTCACCCAACTCACAACATTTATAAATTCATTCAATAAGTTTTTACCTTGGGAATTGTTATTGGAATCCTGTGGCTGTTCCTCGTGTTCCAGCATCCTCTGCAAAAAATCATTGAATTTCTGAAACAAAACAAAAAAATATTAATTTAATACCTGGAAATGTTAACGAACATTTCAATGCTTTAGAAACAAAATAAACTAGAAAAGCTATCGTAACTATACTGATAAATAATTTTCAGTAAATATACTTTTCATTTTAAATTTATTTCTGCTAGGCACTAATAAATTTAATGAAATAGTTTTCAGAAGGAAAAAAAAGAGTTAAACTCAAATGTGATATTTAAGTCATTCTGATAAACAATCAAAAATGATCCAAAATAACTCGAGAATGATTTAAATTAATTCATCCAAATAATGATGATTGATTATTGTGAAATAAATAAAATCCACTCAAGTTTGAGTTAAAATGATGCAATATATATATATATATAT